TCACATCACACTTGTTCTGTATAAACGCCAGAACCTCGTTTATAACTAAATTACAATTCGCGCACTTTAACATTTTAGAGGTCGTTGGACCCTCCATTGCAACTGTAACGGTGGATTCAATATATGCGATAAATAAATAATATTTTTCGAAAAAAATTTAGCAAAAATAAACGTGTGACATATATGACATGACAACGTCAACGATATGAAGCTATAATATAATATAAAGACTTTTCAATGCTGCAGAGATCTGTTTAGATTTTTTAATGAATATCCGCTCCGCTACATTCACAGCCGAATTTCCTACAGTGTCAAAATTGTACCGACGGTAGGCTGCTTAAATATAAGAGGGGATTAAATATTCATATTAAACGATGCCATAGTAAAAGTATTTCGGCTTCACAGCCTACCGTAGAAAATCATAACTCTATTAGCAATTCCTCTAATGACACAAACTTTTCCCTTTTTTCGGAGCAAATTTACAATTATCATCGTAATGTACCAGTGGTTAAAAGAATTCCTTGAGGTGCATGATGCAGCTTGCTAAAGCATTGTCATACACTATTCAAAATTGTTTCATTATTAGTGAAAAGAAATGGCAAAAATTATTTACTTTCGCGTATTCCCATTTTCATTTTGACAAAACAATAAATAAATCAATTACGTCTCAACTAAAAGAGACATTTTTCAAAATTTAGATTACCAAATTAAAAGTCTTTTATCTCGACCTCATCTTAAATTTGATTTAAAAAAAAGTAATTGAGTCGAAAGTAATGGACGGCGACTTAAAAAATGCATCCCGTATTTTATTCTCAGACGACATCCTGGCTCGTAATGTCGAAACTCTTGAAGGCCTTCGTCAGAATCATCCTTCGGTCAATCCTTATGGAAGTTTACCGCTGCCTCCTTTACAAATTTCTGATAAAGACACTTTAGAACCAATTATGCCATTTTCGAATGGCTCTGCTGGCGGCATTGACGGAATTACGCGTAAACATCTTAAAGATCTTGTAAGCGCTTCTGTCGGTGACGCCGGCGGAGTACTTCTTCATGACATTACAAAATTATGTAACTTTATGCTTTCTGGAAATGTTAATCCAAAATTCATTCAATTCTTATATGGGGCAAGATTATGTGATTTCAAAATAATATAAAATTAAAAATTTTGTACAGCCGACTTCAATATAAGCGACTTCAATATAAGTTATTTAAGAATAACTCAATAACCATTGGTCTGACCTTGATCAAATTCATATGGGACCACACGAGAACTATTAGCTTTCATATAAAAAGAATCATCGAAATCGGTTCACCCAGTACAAAGTTATGAGGTAACACACATTAAAAAAAACATACAGTCGAATTGAGTACCGTCTCCTTTTTGGAAGTCGGCAGAAAAAAGAATAACGGTATCCGTCCTATTGCCGTTGGTTCCACATTTCGACGCTTAACTTCAAAATTAGCTTGATACACATAATCTGTAACCTTAAAACAAAATTTCAGCCTACTCAACTAGGCTTTGGCACTAGAGGTGGCTGTGAGGCGGCGGTACATTCAGTGCATACATTTTTAACAAACTCTGATGCAGATGTTCTTGTGAAGGTTGACCTAAGGAATGCTTTTAACGATATGGATAGGGTAATCTTGCTGAAAAAAGTGGCTAACAATACCCCCGAAATTTATCATTACGTTTGGCATTGTTACAATAAAATACTAACTTGTTTTACGAAAAATTTTTATCGATTTTGCTGTCGGCATTCAGCAGGGTGACCCACTAGGTCCAGCACTTTTCAGTTTCCGAATTCAACCCATTATTTCAAATTTGAAATCCAAGCTGAATGTCTGGTACATGGACGACGATACACTGGGAGGTAGAGTAGATAATTTATCTGGTTCTTCTAAAAGACACTTTAATTCAAAATTTTAATCATATTTCTCCAGGAATAAAAGTTGTCAGTACGGAATCGCTATACCTACTAGGTGAATCGTTGTTTTTCGATAGCATTAAACCTTTTTTAAAAACTAAATTTGGTCAGTTTTAAACCACTTTGATAAATATTATAAATTAAGCCCCCACATTGCTCTTACTATTTTAAAATATTGTCTCCTTGTACCTAGATTTACATACTTACTCCGCTCGAGTCCAGTCTGGAAATGTTCGGATATTTTAAAAGATATTGATAATAATCTTAAAATAGCTATAGAAAAAATTCTAAATTTAACTTTAAATACAACACCCTGGACTCAATCTACTATGCCTATAAAATTTGGTGGTATTGGTGTAAGAAATCTTTCTAGCGTTGCATTGCTTGCTGTCCTTGCTTCCGTACATAGTGTCAGTGACTTATGTAACGTAATCTATACATCTATACAAATCAATAAAATTGAAGTGTCTGTTTGTAATGTTAAAATGCACTACTATTAACAAAAACACAATTTTTAAAATTTTTGTCTGAGTTTCAGTCTGTCTGTCTGTTTCTTCCGGCTAATCTCCGAAACGGCTAGACCGATTTTGACGGGACTTTCACTTTTGTTTTAGAAAAAGAATTATGGTTCCGCGCAAAAAAATTAAAACCCATGAAATCCAAGTTCACGCGTGCGAAGTCGCGGGGAACAGCTAGTTTTAAATAATAAAATAGACCTGTGCTTTGCTACGGAGGCAAGACAGACATGGCGAACGCTGTGTCCCGGCGAAAATGTTCCACTAGAAGTCAACCAACAAATACAGTAGGATATTTCGTTGTTACAGAGCGTCCAGAAAAATTTGTTTCATAATTTACATAGAGACCAAGATAAGGCACGCCTTCTAGCTGTTTCGACTAAGGAATCTAGTCACTGGTTACACGCTTTACCATCAAGTAATCTCGGCACATTACTTGATGGGGAAAGCTTGCGCATCGCCGTAGGAATCCGACTAGGAGTGGCGATTTGGCAACCTCATCAGTGCCCTTGTGGTAGCAGAATTGACAAGTTTGGGCTCCACGAACTTTCATGTAAGAAAAGTGCTGGTAGGTTTTCACGGCACGGTTCTTTGAACGATGTAATCCGAAGGGCTCTTGTCTCTATAAATGTTCTCTGGGTTTTAGAGTCTTGTGGAATATTTAGAGACGATGGCAAGAGACCCGACGGTATGACATTGGTCCCTTGGGAAAGAGGTAAAGCCCTAGTGTGGGATGCTACTTGCGTAGACACTTTGGCGGCCTCTCATCTTAGGGGTACCTCGTTTAGAGTCGGGGCGGTATCAGAGGCAGCTGAACTGAGTAAATGGTGCAAATATGAGTCTCTCAGAGATGACTACATATTTATGTCATTTGTTGTAGAGACTATCGGTCTGCGGGGTCCACGTGCGGTGAATTTCCTAAAGGAACTCCATCCGCGACTGGTCGTTGCTGCTGGTGTTAAGAGAAATGGTTCTTTTCGCGTTTAAAGACTAAGTATAGCCATTCAGCGGTTCGGTCCGGTGCTTGGCACGATACCGCGGGAAGTAGGAATCTATGATGTATGATTAAGTTACTAGTTTTAGTTCTTTTCTATTACAGTTTTTAATATTCTATATAATAAAATATTGTATATTTCGTTATGTAATTAAACGTAATAGATTAGAAATAAATAATCCAAACAACAGATATTCCCAAAAGTAAAAAAAATATATATAAAAACCATGTGTGAAAAATTAAAGAGCGTACCATTGTGGCTTTGTTTTGTGTAATTACTCACTCTAGAAAAACTTTTATTCAAAACGAAATTTTCAATTTTAATGACTTTAGCCGCCTTTACACGACACGTGCTTTCGCTCGCGATCGGAGTGTGCGCGATTCTCTAGTATATTATGCAGTAATCTATGTGCGCGATTGAACCATGATTGATCGCGGGAAACCTTGCGCGCGCAATCGTTAGTGCGAGAGTGATTGTTTTTATCCATTCTTTGCGTTGACTCTTTCTCCCGCTATTAATACCGTATTCAGAGAGGAAAGAGCGTCGGGTAAAGGCTAATCGCGCGTGAATCAGTACGGGAAACTTTCGCGACTTCCAGGGGACTCCCCAGGAGTGTAAAAAAACACGTAGTCATAGATTACTGTATATATAGTAGAGACACACAGTTTTGTTAAAAGCGCGCTTTAAAAAACTAGTGTTATACAGAAATAGACAAAAATGTTAAAAAGAATATCACATTAGCAGTTATGTTTGCTGGTCTAATCCCGGTGATTTTTATAATTATTTGCGATTGGACAGTGAAGTATTTAATTTATTACTAAATTAAATAAAACATAAGAACACCGAACGGGATTTTATTTCGAGGCAGAATTTAAGTGCAGAATTACGATTAGCTGCAATTTTGCGATATCTGGCTACAGGATTTTTTACATGGCAGAGCCATGCTGCAGCTACATTACTGGTATAGTTGTAGCACGAATGGGTCGCCTCCACCGGGGAAGGACCACGCTCTTACAGAATACCAGCGTAAAATAGCAGCGTAACGCTACTGTTTCCTATGCTGAGTGTAGAAAAACTTTTTAATGGCACCGAGACATACCATCTTAGTCCTCACGGGTGACGACGCATCTGCATTTTGATTCGTAATCGAGGATAGATGTAGATGTCTATGGGTCACAGCAACCACTTAGCATCAGGGGGACTTTGTGCTCGTTTACGCTCGTCTACCCATAGAAAACAGAAACCTATCCAATAAAAAAAGAACGTTCATTTGAAGATTTAAAATATAGTACTGGTATATCAGCTCCATCACTTTCTAAAATAATACCAGAGTCCTGTCGAGCTATTTATACAAGCCTTCAGTCAGAATATCTCAAGATATGTAATAATCTATGTATCTATAACTTAACGTCAAGTCTCTAACAAGTAGGAAGTAAAAAAACATATATTCTAAGTATGACAAAGATATATTTAGGCCTAATCATAAAATAGAGTTCTCAATATAAGTTTCAATCTAATGTTTTCTGTTCATAAAAAGAACGTAAAGGGTCAGTATTAGCTTCCACCTACTGTGCTTCTGAATTTGGAAATACGTGTGCCTCATCATCATTATATAAACTTGTTACATACGTATGAATAGAAGATGGAGTCTCAACACGTCTGTAACAGCCGTTGCACAGATTAGTCTCTTCTGTCAATTTTTTCAGTAATCCTCTGAGTAGCACATTGTTTATTATAGATTCTGCATAAATGGCTTGTAAAGGATCCATTTTAGCCATTTTTTTGGCTATATTAATTCCAACAGCATCAAACTCTGTTAACTCTTTGGAATTAGCTTTCATTGTATTAGCACAAACTTTTAATAATTCTGCCTGAAAACTACTTGCCACTTTTCTCTTCCTTACTGGTGTGTGATCAGACTGAAAAGATAAATATAGCTAATTAATAATTACATCTCCAGATTCCGCCTACAAAAGAAGAATGGAATAAGTGGTAGAAGAATTTCAAATTAAATGGCAATTTATCAATTGTGGAGGAGCAATGAATGGTAAACACATTCGCATGGTACCACTATCTGATTCCGGAGCCATCTACTATAACTATAAAAACTTTTATAGTATTATTTTGATGACATTAGTGGGCAATAACTACGAATTTATTAATGTTGGTGTTGGAAAAATGAAAGAATATGAGATGGGGTGCATTTGAATATACTGAATTTAATCGTAAGCTTAAACTGAAGCAGCTGAATTTACCTGAGAATGACGAAACCATAAATAATTACAATTTTATGTTCATAGGCGATGAAGCTTTGGACTTGAAAATTTTTCTCTAAAGCCATATGCACAGAGAGAATTCGAATATGAAAAGAAAATATCATTGACTAAACTATCTATTGTCAAGGGCTCGAAACGTTGTTGAAAATGCTTTCCGTGTGCTTCAGCTAGGTTTAGAGTATAACATATAGCTATAACACCAAAATATTTGTTACGTCGTACTTGCAATCTGTACCTTGCATAATTTTTAGGCGCTCAGAGTAGATCATATTTTACTGTTAACGTAGATAAAGAAGAGATAAAGAAGAACTGTCCAATTAGCTGAATGGCGAGAAACTGCACATCAATTAACTAATCGACAAAGACGTCAACATGTTCAGATAACATCGGAAGCTAAACAAAATTGAGAAAACTACAATAACTATTCTAATACAGAAGGAAAGTTGGAGTTGGCAGAATCGTATGATTGCAAGCGGACGAGCTTAGCTATATTACAGTCCGTACAGATAAAGAATGGGATTAGAAATGGCGGCTTATCGAACCCGTACCGTCAACATGCACAGTACCAATAGTGAAAACCCGCTAATATAACGGTATATCGTTATAACGTTATGTTATTAGATTAATTAACGGTATATCGTTATAAAGGTGGTCCTTCACTGCTGGCCGTATGAGGAAGCTCAAGGTCGCTCAGCGAGCTATGGAGAGGGCTATGCTCGGAGTTTCTCTGCGTGATAAACTTAGAAATGAGGATATCCGCAGTAGAACCAGAGTGACCCACATAGCCCAACGGATTAGTAAGCTGAAGTGGCAGTGGGCCGGCCATATAGCTCGAAGAATCGACAACCGATGGGGAAGAAAGGTTCTTGAGTGGCAGCCTCGTACCGGTAGGCGAAGTGTAGGGCGACCCCCCACGAGATGGAGTGACGACCTGGTAAGACATGCAGGAAGTCGATGGATGCAGGTGGCTCAGGACCGTGCTTTGTGGCATTCCTTGGGGGAGGCCTATGTTCAGCAGTGGACTTTTAAAAGGCTGTAATGATTAGATTACTTGGAAATTTTCTATTAGTGGGAAACATATCTGAAAATAATTGTATACGCAAGTTACATTAATTATAAAATAACAGTTATAACTAGCGACCCGTTATGGTTTCGCCTGGTTGGGATCTATTAATATGGCATTATTTAGTAAGATAATCATTAAAGGCCATTTATTATAGTCAAAATCAGCAATAATTATGTAGAAAACTCTCAGAACGCGTTTTAGCTCATAGGTTAGCTAAATTCTACCGATATTTTTTGCATTTTATTTCAATGACAAGTTGGACTGAAGTTAAAGAACGTACGAGAAACGCATATCGCAACGTATTTTTTTTTTGCAGTCCTTACCAGCGAGTGTGAGTATAGATAGCGGCAATGTATTTCAACAGTGGTAGAGCCAAGCGGTAGCTTTTGCTGTCGCACGGATGGGCCAGCTCGAACCGGGGTGGTATCACGACCTCACAGAATACCAGCGTGAAGTAGAGGTTTACCTCTGTGTAGCGCTTGGTGAGTGCAGGTGGCCGGAGGCCCAATTCCCCCCCCCCCCATCAACATGGTAGTGGAATTAAATAAAAGACTACCCCAGGAGGGTACCAGCACCCCTGGAGAATCCCTCGCTGAGCATCCACGACCAAACTACATCACTCCTGGGCGTGGGTGCTCAGGCTGCCCCGCGTATTCTGGGGGGGGGGGGGGGGGGCAAAATTCCGCTCGCGACTAATGCTGCTCGGGGCAAGCGGAGCAATACAACCAAGGCGACCCCTGTCACGCTATCCGTGAATTTTTGCAACATCAGGGGACTTCATTCCCACCTTAACGCTGTCCATTACCATCTAGAGACGGCGAAGCCGGCCTTGCTCTTTTTAACCGAGACTCAGGTGTCCTCTCCGGCTGATACTTCATATCTCTCCTACCCGGGATACAAATTGGAACACTCCTTTGTGCCCCGGGCTGGAGTTTGTGTATACGTCAGAGAGGACATCTGTTTTCGACGCCTCGGCAGCCTTGAAGGTACGGCCCTGTCCATCCTATGGCTGCGCGTAGACAGTGACGACCATCCCCGCGTCTACGGGTGCCTCTATAGGTCCCATAGCAGTAATGCCGACACAGACCGACTCATTGACCACGTCCAAATGGCTGCAGACTCCGTGCTACAACAGGTCCCATCCGCAGAGATCGTGATACTCGGTGATTTCAACGCCCACCACGCTGAATGGCTTGGTTCTCGTTTAACCGATCATGCGGGTAGATCTGTCTACGACTTTGCTTTGGCATATGGTCTAACACAACTGGTTACTTCGCCTACGCGGATCCCAGATGTGGAAGACCATGTACCTTCCCTGTTGGACCTTCTGCTGACCTCTCATCCGGACGGATATCAGGTCTCCGTCGATGCCCCTCTGGGCTCTTCGGACCATTGTCTGATCCGGAGCACGGTGCCACTCACGCTCCAATCGCAATTGCGATCTGCAGCTTGCCGCCGTGTTTGGCACTATAGGTCAGCTGATTGGGACGGGATGCGGTCTTTTTTTGCATCCTACCCTTGGGGGCGGGTTTGCTTCTCGCCGGAAGATCCCAGCGTTGTTGCCGATTCTGTTGCTGATGTGGTACTTCAGGGTATGCAACTTTTTATTCCATCCTCTGTGGTGCCCATCGGAGGCAGATCCCAACCATGGTTTGGTCGCTCCTGTAAAATAGCATCACGCTATAAGCAGGAGTGCTACCGGGCCTGGGCTGACGCATCAACGTCTCGGGACTTATACACCAGCGCACTTAAAAAGAAGTATAATTCCGCCTCCAGGTCCTTCAAAAGCGTCATTGTCAAGGCAAGGTCTGAGCACATCGGCAGAATTGGCGAGAAGCTAGTTCGCCGTCCTTCGGGAACCCGTGCATTCTGGTCTCTCGCCAAGGCTGTCCAAGGAAACTTCTGTCAGTCATCCCTTCCATCTCTGCACAGAGAGGACGACTCACTGGCCCATGCCGCAAAAGAGAAAGCCGATCTGTTGTGCTCTCTTTTTGCGTCTAACTCGACTCTAGATGACGGGGGGAACACACCGCTGACCATCCCGCGATGTGAGTGCTCCATGCCGGATGTGCGATTTACACAGCGCTCGGTTCGCAAAGCACTCTTCTCCCTGGACGTCAGCAAGTCGAGTGGGCCCGATGGAGTCCCTCCCATTGTGCTGAAGACGTGTGCTCCGGAGTTGGCACCGGTTTTAACGCGTCTTTTCCGGTACTCCTACTCCCAAGGCGTAGTCCCGAATTCATGGAAGACAGCTTTGGTCCACCCGATCCCTAAAAAAGGCGACCGCTCAGACCCATCCAACTACAGGCCTATCGCCATCACCTCCTTGTTCTCCAAAATAATGGAATCCATTATAAACTGCCAGCTCATGAGGTACCTTGAGGATCACCAGTTGATCAGTGACCGTCAGTACGGTTTTCGTTGGGGTCGATCAGCAGGTGATCTTCTAGTTTACTTAACTCATAGATGGGTGGAGGCAGTAGAGTCCAAGGGGGAGGCATTGGCCGTCAGTTTGGACATAGCGAAGGCCTTCGATCGGATCTGGCACAAAGCGCTTCTTTCGAAGCTTCCTTCCTATGGGCTTCCCGAGAAATTGTGCGAATGGATCACCAGTTTCCTTGCTGATCGGAGCATCAAGGTCGTTGTAGACGGTGCATGCTCTGATTTCAAGCCTATCAACGCTGGTGTTCCACAAGGCTGCGTGCTATCACCAACGCTGTTTCTCCTGCATATCAATGATATGTTGCTAACTAGTAGCATTCATTGCTATGCAGACGACAGCACTGGGGATGCCTTATATACCGGCCATGCCAATATTTTTCGGGAAAACGTCGCCGAGTACCGGGACAAACTTGTGTCTGAAGTCGAGTCTTTGCTTAACAAAGTCTCGGATTGGGGTCGACTAAATCTAGTCCAGTTCAATCCCCAGATGACACAAGTTTGCGCGTTTACCGCTAAAAAGAACCCCTTTGTCGTATCTCCTCAGTTTCAAGGCACTCCTCTTGCTGCCTCAGCCAGTATCGGAATCCTTGGCGTCGACATATCGAATAGCGTGCAGTTTCGTGTTCACTTGGAAGGGAAGGCCAAATTGGCCTCTAAAAAGTTTGGCGTGCTCAGCAGAGCGAGACAGTATTTCATGCCGGCACATCGCTTGCAACTTTACAAAGCGCAAGTTCAGCCCCACATGGAATACTGTTCTCATCTCTGGGCCGGGGCACCCCAGTGCCAGCTCCTTCCACATGACCGCATCCAGCGCAGAGCGATTCGAATCGTCGACGACCGAGTTCTTTCCGATCGGCTCGATACACTGGCACTGCGTAGAGATGTTGCATCTCTTTGCGTATTTTATCGCATCTATCACGGGGAGTGCTCTGAGGAATTGTTCGGACTAATTCCAGCCGCTCAATTTCACCATCGCACGTCGCGACAAAACTCGCGTTACCATCCATACCATCTGGATGATTGGGGTTCCACCACTGTGCGATTTAGAAGAAGTTTTCTCCCTCGCACAACTTCTTTGTGGAATCAATTACCACCAGCGAATTTCCCGAACCGATACGACTTAGGAACCTTCAAGAAAAGAGCTTACACCTTTCTAAAAGGCCAGCAACGCATCTGCAATTCCCCTGGTGTTGCGGTTGTTCATGGGCGGCGGTAGTCACTTACCATCAGGTGAGCCGCATGCTCGTTTGCCCCCTATTCTATAAAAAAAATGTGCAAGCGAGAGGTGAATAGAGGCGACGCCATTTTCAATCCTATTCTTTAACCGCACGGGTAATACAAGAATTTACACTCTAATTTAATAATCACATAATATTAAATAAATTACTTGACAAAAACTCACGTTTTTATTTTGTATCTCATTTTTCTCGCTGTGTACTGATTGTTCTTCCCCATTTGTGTGATTTTTTTGCTGCTCTTTGACATTTTTGGTAGCGTTTAGCCGATCTTTATTGTTTGTAGAATTGTTTTCAATTTCTTTAGTGACTACTTCGGTTTGTTCATCTATATTTGTAAAACTATCTGTAGGTGTTTCTTGGTCTTTGGTAAATAATAAAAGATCGTAATACCACAAGTTTGGTTTATATATGTCATCTGTACCTTTTCCGCTACGCTGACTATCCAACACTTTGTTAAGTTCTTTTCGAAACGACCCTTTCAAGCTTTGAATTTTTTTTACAACAAAATCTCTGTTGGCTTGTGGCATTCCATTATCCTTGCAAAACTTTACTAATTTTTCGTAAGAACTTTCCTTTAAATTTCTATTTTTATACTCATCGGATTTAATTTTCCATAGGCATGCATGAGACTTGTATATTGCTAAGAACTCTGTAATAAGATCTTTGCTCCATAATCTAATGTCCGCCATTTTACGACGATTATCGTTTTCACAAAACCGTGCGTGTAAATTATGTTTGGAGCACACAGACTTGAAAACAGGACGGGTATGACAATGACGGAATGCGCGACCGCGAGATATACTCATTATACTCTTTGCCGCGAGCCGGCGAACGGAGCGTGCGTGCAATCTCGTTCTCCTTTTCTACCTTTACATGCGCGCTCTTTCGCGCGCGAAAGCCGATTCACGCGATAAAGAGCGTATATGTGTAAAAGCGGCTGTTAAATATCTTCACTTCATTTCCAATTAGCGACATCTGGTAAGCGAAAGATCATTAGCTTCATTGCCATATTTTAACACCGCACAAAATAGGTACCAACTACCAATGATACCTATGACCTAGGTATGTCGGGTCTGCCTATGATAATGGGACATTATGTAATTTAATTTACTAAACCCATTCTATGATATATCATAATGAATATTATCTATAACTTTTTTATTTATAAAATAGGATAAAAGACCTATTAATAATAAGCTCACTTGTTGCAGTGCCACCTATTAACATAAAATTATAAGCTTTACGACAATGATACACGACTTTTCAGCCACCGGGGCGACGCCACTTAAAAGTGAGGTATACTTAATATTTGATAGATTTCATAGCGGGGAATTTAATTTTTTCGTAAAATGTAAAGGTTAATGTTTCTTTCTGGACTATTAGCTATATTTTATATTAAAGAGATTAAAAATAAATAAACCAAAGCACAGATATTCATAAAAGTAGAAAAATTAAAAAAGTTAAAAATGTGCAAAAAAATTAAGCGCAAACCACTAAAACATTGTTTTATTTATTAGTATAATACTCTAGAAACTGATAAACTTTTATTAAAAATTAACTTTTCAATTAAATGAAATTGTGTAACAAAAAACTTTGCCCCAGTGTCAACTAGCGACATCTGGTGTGCAGAAAATTATTAGCCCTCATTACAATATATGTTTGACTTCAAACGAAACATTCTAATAATTTAAAACAGAGTCCTCTATTGCAAGCCTGATTACTTATGCTTCTACTAACTATAATATATTTCAATATTATGCTTAAAACAAAATCCACAAGATGACACCACTATCGGCCAGTCGATAAAAGGAATGGCTGCGTGCGTCACGACGCTGCGCAATCAACCACGGAAATAATAACAGCTGTTCTATTCTACGACATTTTACATCTACAATATTCGGTCAGGCAACTCAGGTAGCAGCTGTATACGAAAGATCACGCAGCCGTTTTCCTTAGAATTGCAATTGTTTCGACATTGAATAGTGGCTTTCTCATTGTTTTATCTTTCGCCGTGCAGCACGAACAATCTATTTTTCAGTTTATTACTGTCATCGTTTGCTTTCAGTATTAATTTTGAAAAGTGTGTGAATCAATCATTACAATCTGTGAGTTTCTCGGCGATATGTTTACCAAAATTCTTTCATTGTTGTTGTGAGATTAATCCAGTTGAAATGCCTCGTGAATACGTGGGCCGCAAGAAGTCTACAGTGTTCTGTTAATAGAATCTCTTGTAGATAGTAATTTTAAATTTTATAACCGCAATAGGTAGAATTTGTGAAAATGTCTAGTACGGTTCCGACCAGTTCTGCCCTAAGGGCCTTAGCCTTAGAATATAAAAGCCTTCAAGAGGAACCAGTAGAAGGCTTTAGAGTTAAACTATTAGGAGAAGACAATTTATTTGAATGGGAAGTTGCAATTTTTGGACCCCCAGACACATTGTATCAAGGCGGATACTTCAAGGTATGAGTACAATTTCTTTTCTTCGATATTGCCTTTCCTTACTTTATTGTCATTTCTTGTTATATTGATATATTTCTAAATAATTTAAGAAAGGAAGTTAAACTTTCATTTTATATTTAACTTACAACTTTTTTCTTGATAAATGGAGTAGAAGTAATAATATTGTTGCAAAATATATTTCTGGTACCATGTACTATAAAGTAGGTATTCTGTGCTTCAGCATAGACTACAAATTACTTTTTCATTGTTGTTTGCATCTTGAGTTGCATTTTATTGTGTGAAATCGTATTTATATTTTATATTTTGGTATTTTGTATCATACACATTTTGTTAAATAACATCCTTGGATGCAAGTTCTAATAAGCCATCATGGTCAGTCAGGTGCGGTCGCAGCCTGAAGTTTTGGAGGGGGTCACTAATAATAAAATATGTCAAGTAAATTAGACTTCATTGCACAATACACAATTTTATTGCACATGGTGCACTGCACAACATCCACACAATAGTGTCTTGCATACGCAAACAGTTTGTAGAGTTTTTGCCAAGAACATGACTGTGTGGCATCTCCATGTCTTAACTTTTTAAGATTGAATATGTAGCTGGGTCTTAAGGCAATCTATGAAGGAGCTCTATGTTCAGCTGTGGACTTTCTATTTTTTATAATGAAAGAGAGCCTTGTTTGTAATTACCAGTAGCCACTTGTCATCAGGTAGAAATATACTTTTAGTTAACTTTATTCTTATAAAAATGTGTGGTGTCTGATTTAATAACACATTATTATGTGGGTTATTAATTCCACAATAGTTACTAGTAAAATAGACTTGGGTAGCCTAATTTAATATATTTTACCTTAATTATGTATATCTGCCTCTCAATGAATGTGTTTTTGGCAATGACCATGATGACAAATTGCACTATAACCACAAATGGATGAGAAACAGCATTACCAGTATGTTATTCATCTTAATCTTTGAAAGTTATCTATATCTTTTTTAACAGTGGTAGAGCCACGTGGCAGCTTTTGCTGTCGCACGGATGGGCCGGCTCGAACCGGGGTGGTACCACGACCTCACAGAATACCAGCGTGAAGTAGAGGTTTACCTCTGCGTTTCGCTTGGTGAGTGCAGGTGGCCGGAGGCCCTTTTTACTGGGAATGAGGCATTCCATCTTAGTCCTCACGGGTGACAACGCATCTACATTTTGATTTGTAACAGAGGGTAGATGTAGATGTCTATGGGCCACAGCAACCACTTATCATCAGGTGGACTGCGTGCTCGTTTGTACCCTTATCCTATAAAAAAAAAAGTCATACGCTAGATAATAATTATAGCCAACAAGTTCTTTTATATATTTCATATTAATTTTTAATTTCAATATAAAAAAATATAATTTTTTTTATAATAAATTTATGTGCAAAATTACTATGCACCTTGACAAAATTTCAAGGGATGATTCCTCAGATTTTATACTGAACTTTAAAAAAATTATTTTAATGGCCAAAATTAGTCTTTCTGCCCCATAATCTTCCACTTTAATTATGATAATTCAAGTGCATAGACATTTATATATATGATATCATAGATATTTTTTGTTTAATTTTTATAATACGGAAGTTGATTATGTACCCATGACTACTTTAATGAATATGAAAAATACATTAATAAATAAATCTATATTTTTAATTTACCAATTATCAGACTACAACAATACATCTTACTTAATTATTAGATATTTGACAGAATAGGATAAGAGTAGCCGAATAAGTCAAATACTGAACAATAGCTGAATATTTGTTTTAATCTATTTTAAATTAATAATTTTGATTTTTTACGTGGTAATTTTGTTTTACGTGGTAGAGCCATGCTGCAGCTATATTATGATTGTAGCACGAATGGGTCGACTCAACCGGGGAAGGACCATGCTCTCACAGAATAGCAACTTAACGCTGCTGTGTTTCGTATGGTGAGTGTAGATATCTGGAGACACTTTTTACAGGAAACGAGGCATTCCATCTTAGTCCTCACCGGTGACAACGCATCTGCATCTTGATTCTTTATTGAGGATAGACGTAGATGTCTATGGGTCACAGTAACCACTTACCATCAGGTGGACTGTGTGCTTGTTTGTCACCCTATCCTATAAAAAAAAGACATGCAGGTGGTTCTGGACCATATTTTGTGGCAATCCTTGCAGGAGGCCTATTTTAAGCAGTGGAGAGGGCTTTTATGCATTTTAGGTCATTGCAAGGGACAATTGTATGTGTCAAATTGTGGTTAAGTTTTTATTGTTCAAATATGTATAAACTTTTATTCTTGTAAAACGTAGTAATCATGTACTACGTAATAATATAATATAATTACTCGGTATTCGACCAAGTAGGATAAAGAAAATGTGTAGGTGAAGCAGGGTTAGCTTCAGCATGGCTATGCTGGGGCTTACCCCGCTTCTAAGGTTGCTGTTGGTATAGTCCATATGCAGCCATACATGCCAGAGTCTGGTATCGCTGAAGCTTCTTTATAATGGTAGCTTTATTTGTTTTGTCCATCATGTCAGGGCGCCGTATGTGATCATGGGTCGAATTACAATTTTGTACAGCTACAGTATAATTTTGGGCATCAGACCTCATCATTTGCCAATAATTTTTTTGCATTGCCAGAAAGTTCCACTAGCCTTGTTGATCTTGTTATCATGTGTTCATTCCATTTGCGTTTATTGTCAAAGGTAAGTCCTAAATATTTTACCTCAGGATAGCTGGAATTTTGTGCTGTAAAGACTTGAAAGGTGATAGTTATTCAGCATTCGTTTTTGTGTAAACATTACTAAAACCTTTCTATTTGGGTTAACGGTTAAGTCATATTCCTTGCACTATTTCTCCACTATACGGAGAGCTGCTTGGATCAGGTCGCACACCATGTTTGCACTCTTTCCTGAGATCAGTATTGTCAGGTTATCTGCATAACTTATTGTGTAGAAGTGATTGGCATTTGCTGATGAGTTCATTTATAGCCTTTCTTTATCTGAACAGTTTGAGATTCACCAGCAATCTTTTTTGTTCATGTACTGAACACGTGAGTTTGTGAAGTATTTCATTTTAGTCTTCGGAAGTGACAACACACCCGTAGCCAACATTTTTGAAGATTGTTGTAGGTGTCCATAGAATGCGTTAACCACTATAAAAAGAGTATTGATACTCTGCTGTACCTACTCAATAATACTTATAGATATTATTCTTATATATAAAAATTATGTGTCACATTGTTTGTCCACGATGAACTCCTAAACTACTGAACCGATTTCAATGAAATTTTACACACTCTGTGCAGTTCGGTCCAACTTGAGAGATGGGATAGTTTCTATCCTGATAAATGACACTCCATTTTTTTTTATTACGAATTTAAGCATTTTTTATATGAAGGGTCGTCGAAAAGTGCAGAACAACGTCTGCCTGGCCAGCTAGTCGTTATATATATAAAAATTACGTGTCACGTTGTTTGTCCGCGATGAACTTCTAAACTACTGAACTGATTTCAATGAAATTTTGCACATTGTGTGCATTTTGGTCCAACTTGAGAGATAGGATAGTTTTTATCCCGCTAAATTACCATCAAAATTTTTTATTGCGAATCTAAGGATTTTTATAAGAAGGGCCGTTAGAAAGGGCAGAACAACGTCTGCCTGGCCAGCTAGTAGATATAATATAATAAATATGTTAACTGAAATGAATATGTAACATGTAGCAGTGGTTTACAAGAATACATTATGAATTAGATGCTTAAATGTGATATGTTTTGTTTTTCTCATTCTTAGTAGTAAATATTAGTAGTAAATCAAATAATTTAAACGTGGTTTTTAAAGGTGATAGAGCCAGCTATATTACTGGTATAGTTGTAGCACGAATTGGTCGGCTCCACAGGGGAAGGACCACGCTCTCACAGAATACCAGCGTAAAATAGCAGCATAACACTGCTGTGTTTCGTATGGTGAGTGTAGAGACTGGAGACCCTTTTTACTGGAAACGAGGCATTCCATCTTAGTCCTCACGGGTGACAACGCATCTGCATTTTGACTCGTAATCGAGGATAGATGTAGATTTCTATGGGCCACAGCAACCACTTACCATCAGGTGGACTGTGTGCTCGTTTGTCACCCTATTTCTTTAAAAAAAAAGAAACTTATCTAGTATTAAATTGGCCTTTTTCAAAATGGAATTCTTCCTTTTGCTCTTAAATATTAGATGACAGTAACATGTATAATATGGAAGTCAAAATTGTTTTGTGCTCACAGCAAATAATGATATAATTTGAATTGAAGGCTCAAATTCAGAAGTTATTATGCGGAAATAATTTTATTGTTTTTAGTTCTTTGAACCCTGCTTTTACTTTTTAATATAAGTTAAATTTTTGAGCCTTTGACTATGGAATATCACAATCTCAAATAACAACTGGATTGTCATCTAAATATTTACATTATTAACTTCACCTATATTTTGCCATGCTTAGTGGTGGAATTTTCTCAATAAAATAACACAGTTTCACACCTTTAAAGTAAGGTACCCATTTAATAGAAAATAATCATTAAAATATGTTCATAATTGAAGAAGATATCTCTTAGATTAATCCTGTGATATATCATGAAGTCCAACCTTATAAATGCACTTCAGATTGAATGTGTGAACCTTCCCTTCTTTTACGTAGGCAATACTTGGCTGATAGATTTTTTATTTAAAGCTGTACAACCCTCATATCATCCACATTTCCAAGTTTCCATCCTGACTCCAAGAACTCGCACAATATGTTGAATAACCTGGCTACTGGTCTCTTAAAAATATACCTTGCTTACTTTTATTTATTTATTTATTTATTTTCACCAACAATATACATTCAGAAGACAACAAAAATATGTGCTTACATCTGATACAATACTATTATTAGGTGAAAAACTGGTGCCTAAACTAGGTAAAACCTGTATCTTAGGTCACCAGGTCCCCACCTGTAGGTATC